GATTTTACAGTACTACAAACTGCTTAAATTTGGCGAGAAAATTTTCACAAAAATGCCAACATTTTGTAGCAGTAAATATTTTACATGGTTACTAAGACAAGCAACTGTGATAATTTCACAATCTTTTTGATTCATCAAATCATTAAAATTTATAGCAGCAAAAATCAATTGATTTACAGTAGGATGTCACTGCACGCAGAACTTTTTTTTTCAAAAGAAGAAGATTAAATGGTAAGTGCCACATAATCAACTCTTGGTATCATTTTAACCTGTTTATTCACAATCAGCTTTTGCAACTACTGTAACTTTAATATATCTACATGCCATTTCAGCAAATTCAACGTACCGGTAAGGCATGAAGTAAAAGAGTTAACAGAACTCATGTCTTAGGTTGAATTCGCTAACATTTTGAATTAGCCAAGGTTACCTAAAACAACATGATAGCTAAATAGAAACTAACCATTTCTGTTCAAGTTTTGCTTCTTTCCAATAAATTTATTAATCAAAATTGATAATAATTTTTTAGTTTGTCTTCAAAGTAATATCACATTTTGGAAAAATTACAGAAATATGTTAAATATGTTTAAATAATTTAGTTGGACATACTTGTTATAAATTGTTATAAATTTCAAAAAAAAACAGGCTTTCAATTATCAAATATATTTTCTGCTAATTTGTTATTTTGTCTTTCAAGTCGCATATTAAAATAAATGCTGTCAATGTTGCAATAAAAGTCTACTGCAATAAATAAAACAAAAGATTTGTTTTTATACTTACTGGACATGCCAATTCTTTTCTTGTTCCTTTCGCAGCTATCTTGCCCTTCGTCCAGTCCTCGTTAAACGTTGTCAATGTATAATTCAGGGTACGTAGTTCGGTCTGTGTGATCCATTTCCTACATAGGCAAAGAAAACATGTACAAATAAGTAATGTGTATGAATGCATGTGATGTCATTGACGATACGATAAATATGCGACATTGATCAGGGATTGCGTTAACCCCATATTTTGCTTCCCGGACTCCAATTATTGAAGAGGGACCCAGTTTTTCAGGCAAGCTGGGGTCCAATGTCTAATAAATTGATCCAGGGTCAAATTTCAATTTCTTAACTTTTTTTAAATGGGACTCGTCTTGTCGAGACACTAGCGCAAACCCTGTTGATGTAAAGCATTGTTAAACACAATGTGATATATATGTGACAATGAATCCAAAATATCAAGACAATGTACAAGCACTGTATTGTATATACTCGGGGGCGGAGCTACGTCACAAGACGTTCCACGTTGCTAAGACAAACACCACTGTAAATGCATTTCTATGGGCTTTGTGCGCGCTGCTGTGGAACGCCAGGCGAGCCGGTGAAAATTCGAGAAAACAACACAAACTAAAGTAATCCTGAACAACCGAATTTATACTGTTATACATGTTATACACGCAGGGCTAATCTTGTTACACTGTTCATGGGAGTCTCAACAACCATCCCAAAGTACCGTTTTCTGCGAGTTTTGGGCTTTTGTTTTCACCGCGAAGGTTGCCAAGCGGTGAAAATGCCCGGATGACCGCCCCCGAGGATATGCAAAAAAAAAACTGTACATGTATTGTACTTGTCATGTGAGACCTATATTGAAAATACTGGCTTTTTAAAACAAAGTTGATAATGTTCTATAAAAAGAAACTAATTGTGTTGCTGCAATGTTCTTGCATTAACATAACCATGGCAGTCTCTTTGGTTGTTGCCAAGCAATTGAGCTGATAGTTTTTAAGAAGTCAAAAGTAGCATTTTTTACCCAACATGACAAAAATATCATCACAAAATCCACAATTTTTGTTTACCAAGAATGACAACATTCGTTTAAATAAAGGAATTGAAGATGTCTTCACAAAATGAATAAATTAGACAGAAGTTCACCCATACAAAGTACCAAAGCAGTTGAGATTGAAGCTTTCAAGAAGAAGCCAAAAATAGCATTTTAACAAAAATATTCACTAAAAATAGAGAACTGAAGAAATCATCTAGAAATGAACCAATCCGACAGAGGTCCACTCATAGCACTTACATACTAAAAATTGGAATAATTGAGCGACATTTAGAGGTTTTCAAGAGGACATAAATTGTATTTTTTACCAAAAATTACAAAAATATTTATCAAAAATACAGAATTGACAATATACTCATGAAATGAACAATTCTAACAGAGGTCCATGAAGGTACCTACAAACCACATATCTAAAATCAATTGGGCTGGTAGATTTCAAGAAGAAGTCAAAAATAGAATGACAGACAAATGGATGGACGGACAACAATGGACAATCACATACATGAACACATAACAATAATTTAAGTAACATGATGTACCTGAGATGGTCTTCACTGTCTTTGTCAACTACAAGTAGAAAGTGAACTGGACCTTTAGCATTTTTATACACACTGTTCATAGCGGCCACCATACCACCTAACGTACTACCATCTGATGTTATGAGCACATACACAGGTTCCTGGCCATGTTTCCATAGTGCACGCGTGTCTTCTGAAAGTTGAAGATAAAGTTGAAGAAACTAAAAGACCAAACTTAAAGTGCAACATATATTATACTTAACAATGAGAACCAATTTTCTGTGCTAAAATTTAGTTGCACGGTCTGAATGATTACAATGCTCGAAAAGACGATTTCATGGAAATGGATAGAACATTTAACCTTTGCTTTGTATTTGAATCCAAGAAGTTTTCATTGCTAGAGAGGCCCTATGCTAACACCTATTACCCATGGTGTTATGATTTCAGTTTTATGTATGTCTACTCACCTTTTGTTCTGTCAACTTGA